GGCCCCTGCGGGGACGCGCGGCCGCGCAGCGCCGCCACCGCGGGGACGCGGGGAAGGGCGTCCTGGAGGTGCCCTTGCCGCCCTGGCAGCCGCGCGCCCGGGAGCCGCTGGAGACGAAGCGAGCGCGGCTGCTGCAGGAGAGCAGGAAGAGGGGCACGCTGGAGAACTGCCTGCTGCTCGGGTAAGCCGGGTCAGAGCCCGCAGGACACGCAGCATCGAGCTCTGCGCGCCGAAGGGGGTTGAATCAGCCAGGGAAGAGCTGCGGGCGTTGCTGGAGCCCCAGGCTGAGCGAGGGGTGAGGCTGCTTGGAGGAGGGAAGGCGAGTGTCCGCAGCGAGAGCGTCGCTTGTTCCGCGGTGCAGCGCCTGGTGTCACCGCGGGGCAGCCCGGGGCGGGAGAGGCCTCAAGGGAGCTGCTCCTTGTGGAAGTGGAATCCTTTGGGAAGGATGTATGCCGGATCTGGGATAAGTGAGTGATGCAGGGGAGTGTTTTCGCTCCTGTGTTGCGAGTACTGAAGGGGCAGTGTGAGATGGAAGGCAGCAATGAAGGGAATAGCTTTGCGCGGCCTCCCGGGCTGGAGGCAGCTCTTTTTCTGCGAGATCTCCAGAGCAGTGAGTGGAGCGGGAAGAAGCCAAGTTCCAGCAGGCGGTTGATACCTGTTCACTGAAGCTCATAGCCAGTTCAGCAGTTGAACTGCAGGATTAAGGTAGAGGTTAATGGCTGGAGGGCAGACTGGGACTTAAGGCAGAAGGCAGGTCACTTCAGGCCCAGGAGGAAGACTCTGTGTCTTCCTGCAGCATGCAGAGAGCTGGGCACCAGGCAGTGTCGGCAGCAGAACGCCAGCCGAGCTCTTTCTCCACTCACCCTTACTCATGTTCGTTCATATATCTTTTCTCCTCCAGCCTTTTTGCAAAGGAGAACCTGAACCGCATGAGCGAACGGCAGCTCAACCTCTATGACCGGCTCATCAACGAGCCCAGCAATGACTGGGACATTTACTACTGGGCAACAGGTACCAAATAGCTGCCTGTTAACTGGGTGGCTTTGGCTGTAGCCTCCTAGCCTGACTTGAGGTTCAGGGCTACAGGCAAGGCTGGGATCGCGCTGGGGTGCAGGTCTTGGTGTGGCTGGTGTCACCCCGAGTGTTTGGGTGTGTGGCACCAAGAGCTTTGGGAGAAGATACAGCTACAGCTGTCACGCTGATCCTTTTTTTACTGCAGAAGCGAAACCCACGCCGGCCGTGTTTGAGAACGACGTCATGGCCATGCTGAGGGAGTTTGCCAAGAACAAGAACAGGGAGCAGAGGCTGCGGCAGCCAGACCTGGAGTATCTCTTTGAGTCGCCACGCTGATGCCTGCTCCTCCCTCATCTCCTGGAGTTGTGCAGGGCCACTGGACCTCAGGGCTGCTGCTGTCCCCCGTAGCCCTTCTCTGGCAGTGGCTGCCCTCTTGAGCTCTGAGGGCACAGCAAATAAAACCATGGCTGCTGGTCCCTTGGCTCGTGCTTTCTGACCAGGCTGTTCCCAGCCTATTCCGTTGTGTTAGGAGGTGTCTGTGTTTTGGTGGCACTGGGAGCAAGGCCCATGGAGGAGGCCGTTTGCTGGGGCCGATGCCAGCTCACTGCTGGCTGTGACGGTGGCAGTCCCTTAGGCTTTCCTCCTCCAGGAGCCTCAGCAGGAGGTTGGAAGCAAAGCAGGGCAGAACCTGTGCTGTGAGGTGACCCGGCAAACCTGCACGCACTGTGTGAGCTCCAGCATGAGGGCAGGGGGCCTGGTTTGTGTCCCAGGAGCTCACTGCTCTTCAGTTGAGCTGTAGCTCTGGGTTTGGGGCCTTTGCACTATTCTTGTGAAAGGGGCAGCTCCTGGGCTGCTGCCAGCCCCAGCCTCTTTCTTTCCCCCCACCCCCAGTTTGATCTGTGTCAGCCATAAGTGAGAGCAGTGTCCTCTACAGAATCGCAGGATGGTTGAGGTTGGACGGACCTCCAGAGATCACCTGGTTCAATCCCCTGCTCCAGCAGGGACACCCAGGGCACAGGGTGGCATCCAGGCGGGCTTGGAAGATCTCCAGAGAAGGAGACTCCTCTCTGGGCAGCCTGTGCCAGGGCTCTGTCACCCTCACAGTAAAGCAGCTCTTTCTCGTATGGAAAACCCGAAGTTTTGGTAATGACACCAGCCACGGAGCCACGTGTTAATAGACTGTATCCTCCTCTTCCTTTGTGTGTTCCTGCCAGCCCTGGGGAATGGAGGAGATGACTTGTGCACCCAAGTTTCTGACCATCCCTCCCAATTCCCTGAAGTCCCTTTTCATTGCCCTTGGGCTATATGTTGCCACCTCCTCTCCTGCCATGTGCAGGACAAGCAGTGGGGTTCTGAGGTTCAAACCAGGCTGGGAAGTTTCCTGGTGAAATCCTTAAGCCGGACCCCAGGAAGGCAGCAGACTTCCCTTACGGGGGGCTCCCTTGTACGTATCGGACCCTCTTGTTTCCTTTACTGTGGAGTCACCCACAACTACAAGCCACCTTTCTTCCCTCCGGTGTGTGGTTGCAATACGGGGGGTTGGTCTTTCTGACAGCAGCAATGCCTCGGGCAGATCTATGGGATGTGGCAGAGGGGTAGCAACTGGCTCCAGATATCAGCTCTCCTGCTGCCCCTGTGCCACAGAGATGCCCAGGCAGCCGTTGCTGCTGCTGGGGATGAGCGGCTCTCGGTCAGAGAGGCTCTCACGAGCAGGTTCTCGATGCCTGGCAGCGCTGACCCAACTGAAGCGTCTCCTTGGCCTCCTCATGCGCATCCCTGCCTTTCCAGGCCAGTGCCTGGGGCTTCTCTGTGAGGTCTCTGCCTGCTCGGCTGCGGAGGCAGCGCCCTTGGCTCTGTGCTGGCTACAGGCTCCAGTGCTGGTGTCTCGCTCTAGACACATGAAGCCTTCACGGGTCATCCCAAGCTTGTCCAGCAGCCCCAGGCTGTGGAGGCAGCCCTGCTGCACGCACCGCCATGTGCCACCTGCCTCGCGGCCTTCGCAGCCCGCCCATTGCTCCACGGTTGCCCGCTGGCTGCCAACACCTCCCGCTCCTCGGGGCAGCTCGGAGCCGGCAGCAGCACCGTGCGGGGGCACTGCTGGCATGCGGGGCTGCCCGCCTGCCTGCTCTCCCTGTGACGAGCCGTGCTCCTGCGGCAGCCTCAGCCCCAAGGCTGCCCTCTCAGCCTGGGCCCACCCCAAGCGCGTGAGGAGGCCCAAAGCAGCCCTGCCGGGACAGCTCTTGCCACATGCCCCGGGTTGCAAGGTGCAGGGCCACTCCTGACGCAGGGGTGCGGGTGGCCAGATACCAGGGGACACCATGTTCTCGTGGATTGCTCCCTGGCTCCCTCGCAGCTGCAGGGGACCCAAGACGTGCTGCTGCTCTTGGTGGGTGACGTTAAAAGGGGGCCGTCGGCGGGTGTTATTTGGCTGGTGCTTTCAGTTTGTGCTATTTGGGTGCCAGCCGCTGGAGGGCTGTACGAGCCCGGCTTGATGGCGCTGGCTTTCGGATGACACAGCTTATCTGCAGCAGGGAAAGAATGGCTCGGGCTGCAGCGCTGGGCTGGGTGCGGAGGAGCAGGGCGAAGGAAAGCCCCCTTGACCCCTGCATGTCTTGCAGGACAGGGGGTACAGTCTGCACTGGAGTCTCCATGCGTCAGCCGGTGGTGTGTGGGCATGCGGCTGTGCCCACAGGGTGCACGTGCACACGCGCGTGTGCCCTCTGCACGCAGCAGACCTGTGCATGCACGCGTGTATCGGCCGTGTGGCACATTTGTGCGTGCCACGGGCCTGTGCCTGCGCCTGGAGGTGCTCATGTCCTGTGCCTGTGCATGCAGCAGGCCGTGCACCCGTGAGCAGGGGTCTGGGTATGTGGTGGGCCATGCCCCTGCATGCAGGTGTGTGCACAGGTCTGGGTGCGCAGCAGGCCGTGCACGCTCATACGGGGGCACACAGGGGCACACAG